CACCTCCTCCCCAGCCCTCAGCCCCAGGCCGGCTGGGGTCTCCCTGTCTCAGACCAGCCCTTGTCTGTCTCAGGGATGCTCCTCTCCTTGGCTGGTGACAAAGGGACAGAGTGTCCGAGCAGCCCTCCAGCACAGCCCCAGAGGACGAAGGATGACCCAACAATAAAATATTAATTTATAAAAAGGAAATTTAGAAAGTAACACGACAGAGACTCAGTTCGAAGCCATGATTCATCGTCCTACAGTGACATCTGGTCTTCCACATGCGCTCGGGGACCCCGGCCACTCGGACGAAGGAGGGCGGGCGCTGGACAAGCTCAGGGCCGCCCGTTCCCGGCCTGGGTGAGGGCAGAGTCTGGCCCAGCCAGGTCCCTAACCTGCACAAAGCTGGTGGCAGCCGGTGAACGTGCCCGGCCGGTGCCTGCCTGGAGCGGGTGTGGGGCGTGAGTCCCAGCGGGTGTGGGCTTGGGAGTGGCCGGGGCCGGCGGTGAGCGCGGCAAGGCAGTGGTGGGATGGCCCTCAGAAAGCCTCGTGGCCCCCCGTGAGCTGCAGGAAGAGGTCCGTGTCCAGCTCCTCCCCGCGGGCCCGCTCCCGGGTGGACAGGAAGATGTAGCCCCCGATGTACTCGTGCACGATGCGGCAGCTGGCCGACACGCAGCTGAAGGCCACGTTGATGTGCTCATCGAACTCGATGGCCACCTGCAGGGCAGGCGGACACGGGGGCTGGTGGGAGCTGACAGGGTGGGATGAGGAGACAGCCCTGCCCCGGCTGGAGGGTCCGGCCCCCCGCCCTCCCTCAGGCCCACCTGCCGGATGTCCCAGTTGACATTCCACTGCCGCATGTTGCTGAAGCGCCAGGTCTTGACCACGTCGCCCACGGCCAGGTCGATGCGGATCAGCCGGTTGTTGGCGATGCCCAGGATCTCGTCTCTCCGGCTGCCCTTGAACCTGGTTCCCCAGGGAGTGTGTATGAGCGGGGGTGCCACCTTGCGCAGCCCAGAGCCCACCCAGACGGCGCAAGATGGAGCCTCATCCCGGGCAAGCCACTTGAGTTCTCCGGGCTTCATGCTTCTCATCTGGGAAATGAGGGTTCGTTTTTTTTTTTTTTTGAGCCAGCACAGTAGCTCATGCCTGTAATCCCTGTAATCTCAGCACTTTGAGAGGCAGAGGCGAGAGGACTGCCTGAGTCCAGAGATTTGAGACCAGACTGGGCACCATGGTGAGACCTTGTCTCTATAGTCAATAAATAAATAAGCCAGGTGTGGCAGCATGTGCCTGTAGTTCTAGCTACTAGGAAGGCTGAGGCAGAAGGATCAATTGAGCCCAGCAGGTCGAGGCTATGGTGGCCATGAGCACAGAGTGAGACTCCTATTCAAAAAAAAAAAAAAGGCCAGGCACGGTGGCTTAGCCTGTGATCACAGCACTTTGGGAGACTGAGGCAAGAGGATTGCCTGAGCCCAGGGGTTTGAGACAAGCATGCCACTGCACTCCAGCCTGAGGGACAGAGTGAGACTCCAACTAAAAAAAAAGAATAAGCCGGGCTCAGTGGCTCAGCCTGTAATCCCGCGCCTTTGGGAGGCTGAGGTGAGTGGATTGCCTGAGCCTGCAGGTTCGAGACCCGCCTGGGCAGTGAGACCTCATCTCTACAATAAAAAAATCAAAAAATCAGCTGGGCGTGGTAGCACATGCCTGTAATTCCGGCTACTCAGAAGGCTGAGGTGGAAGGATCGCCAGAGCCCAGCAGGTCAAGGCTGCGGTGGCCGGGAGCGGCCACTGCACTCCAGTCTGGGCGACAGAGTGAGACTCCAACTCAAAAAAAAAAAAAAATAGAGACGAGGTCTCCCTACATTGCCCAGGCTGGTCTAGAACTCCTGGCCTCAGTCAGTCCTCCCGCCTTCGGCCTCCTAAAGTACTGTGACCACAGGCATGAGCCACCGCGCCCAGCTGGGATTAATGGGTGAAATCGTGACATCAGCACTCAGCAGCATCATCACTTCCTTGTTTTTCTGGTAGCGTTTCTGGAAGCCATTGCTTCACTCATAGTTTTGCATTCTTGGGAAGTGACTAATCACGGGGTCACTCCCAGTCATTGCATCCACCCAGCCCCATCCTGCTGACCGGTGGCCCCAGGCGAGGCAGGACACAGTCCGCAGCAGAGCCGGGTCGGGACCAGGCCTCCTGCTTCCGCCCGAGCCCCGTGTCTGGTGTTTGCGGTGGGGTCCAGGTGGGCCGCCTGCAGAGGCCCTGGCGCGGTCTGCACCCGGCTGGCTGAACAAGGGAAGGGAGGCTCTGCGCTCTGAGGATGCTGGCAGCTGCCCGCTGCAGGTGAGGGCGGGGCCGGGACGTACCTGACCATGACGTACTGCAGGTGAGGGCGGGGCCGGGACGTACCTGACCATGACGTACGAGATTCCGAAGTCGGGCAGGGACTGCCAGGCCTGGACGAAGCGCAGCTGGGCCTCGGGGAGCGCGAGCTGGGCCACGTTCTGGTGGGCTTCCAGGATCCGCGGGGTGAGCTGCAGGGCCACACAGGTGAGGGGCGGCCTGGCTCTCCCCCCGCCCCCGCTGTGTGCTCCCGGGGAGGGGCCGCCAGAGGGCCAAAGTGAGTGGAGCCGGCCCTGGGTGGACGTGGGCGCCTGGACGTGACCCCCAGAGGGTGTGGCCCAGGCGCAGGGCCTCGGGGCCCCAGTGGGGGGAGGGGCAAGGGAAAACACAGCCTTGCCGGGTGAGGCTCCACGGTGATCCAGACGGTCAGGGGTGGCCGGGGACGCTGGGGCCATCCCACCCCACTTCCCGGTACCTGCTTGGCCTTGAACTTTCGCTGGAAGCGAGGGGCAACCAGGCCATAGGGGTTGAGGCCCTCAGCAGAGGTGTCGGGGCCCTGGGGGTGGTTGCCCAAGCCCCCGCCGCCCGTCCGCTGGAGGTTGAGGAAGGCCAGGATGGCCTGCACCTCGCTGGTATAGCTGCTGTCCGCCATGGTGCGGCCCTTGGAGGCCAGGCGGCAGCCCGCCATCCAGCGGGCGTACTGCTGCTCCTGGGGGAGGGGCAGGAGAGGGTGGGGGCTGGCAAACCTCAGCCCTGCAACCCGCTGCTCTGCATGCGCTTCAGCCTGGCCCCGGTCCCGGCCCCGGCCCCGGCCCCGGCTCCTGTCCCGGCCCTACTGCAGCCTCCTGCCTGGCCCCTGCCCAGCCCCTGTCCCACCCCTAACAGTCCCCCACCCGACATGGCCCAGCTCCTGTCCTGTCCCGACCGCAGGCTCCTTCTGGGCCCTGGTCCCAACCCTGTCCCTTACCCAGACTCCCACCCGGCCTCTGCCAACCCTTACTCACATCTTGGCACCGCAGGTAGAGCTCGCTCATGCCCTCGGGAGATGGCACTAGGAGTTTGATGCAGAACTTCTGCCCAGAGACGTTGACGTCAGGGACCACCTCGCAGCCTGGAGGGAGAGGAAGGGGCGGGTCAGGAGGTCAGGGGTGGGGGAGCTGCCCGAAAGGACCCCGCGCGCCGGCCAGCCCCTCACGGCAGCCTCTGGCAGTGGGCATCTTCCCGGCCCGGGGAGGAAACAGGCCGGCAGCCCCTGCCCCTGTGCACACACCCTTGAGGTTGAGCTGCTGAATGGGGTCCCCCGGGGCCTCGTCCTGGCTCTTGTAGTAGGACAGGGTGGTCTCCTTGAACACCACCCAGTGCTGCCGGTAGCCCTTCAGGGTCAGCTTCCGGGGTCTGTGGGGGGTGGGGAGGGAGGTCTGAGCCAGGCCACCTCCACCCCCACCCCCTCCTCGACCAGCCCCTCCAAGCTCACCGGAAGATCCGGAGGTTGTCCTTGAGTTCTGGGATGCTGGTGAGGCTGTCCTGCGGGGGGAGCGGAGGGGTCAGGGAGGCCGGGCCTTGCCGGGCCTCCTGCGCCGCCCCTGCACCGCCCACCCGGCCCCTCCTCACCAGCACATCCGCGGGCGCCGACCCCTCCAGCTTCACCTCCAGGCTGCTGAGGGCGGCGTCCAGGTCGTCCAGGCCCGGGTCTGCGCCCGCCAGCTCACCCACCTCCCCGCTCTGGGACAGCTTGTTGACGTGGTACTGGGGACACGTGGCGGGGAGGGCTGAGTCTGGCAGCCGGTCCCCGGCCCTTCCCCCAGCCAGGCTTCCCCGGAGATGGCCCTTCCGGAAAGCCCGCCTCGCCCGCCCGGGGACGGCCCGCACCCCCGGGCCTGCCTGGCACCTGCAGGGCCGCAAACACCATCATCTCCTCCTCGGTGCAGTCGATTTCTTCCAGCAGCAGGTCCCAGCGAGCCTGCTCGTACAGCTGGGTCAGCCGCACCGGGTCCGTCTGGAGTGGCCGGAGGGGGGGTTGAGCCAGCTGCCCGCCCGCCCCCTGCCACCCCCCGCGGCCCCAGCCTGGCCCTCCCTGCTAGTTCAGGGGACCCCAGCCCTGCCTCACAGCCTGCCAGCCTCTGCTGCCCAGGCCAGCGGCACTGTTCTCTGAGCCTCTGCTCAGCCGGGCAGATGTTTCCCGAGGGCCGGGACGCTGCCCAGGGCGCGGGATGCCGAGGAAACCAATCGACGAGTCCAGTTGTTCAAGGGCGAGATACACACTAAGGAAACATCGTCCCAGGGGAAGTTCACGCTCAAGGGCGCCGCAAGCTCGAGGGCGACGCGAGAGAATGGAACGTGGAGAAGCATTCAGAGAGGGCTTCCCTGAGGAGGAGACATGCAGGAAGGATGACAACAGATTGCTAAAGGGAAGAGTGAAGGAAGAGGACTCCAGAGAGAAGGAACGGGAGCACAGAGGCTCCAACGGGGCTCCCATTACCCACGGAAGGCCAGCGCACCCTCTGAAATGAAACCGCAATTGGCAGTGAAGGCACGCCAAAGGCAAGCCCAGAAGGCCAGTGTCGGGACCGCAGCAGCCAGAGCGTCAGCCACAACTGGAAGGTGAAAGGCACGCCGTACGGGGAACTGGTCATGGAGAGAGCTGGGATCTCACGTCGTTTCCGCCCCCTGTTGTCTGGTGAAGCCACCAATGAGTTTTAAAAGCAGGCAGAAAGCAAACAGCAAAGAGGACACAGGCTGGGCGGGGTACAGGGGCTCACACCAGCACTTTAGAAGGCCAGGGTGAGGGGATCACCTGAGGCCAGGAGTTTGAGGCCAGCCTGGGCAATAAAGTTAGACCCTCACTCTATTAAAAAAAGAAGAAGACCGGGCTCGGTGGCTCAGCCGGTCATCCCAGCACTTTGGGAGGCCGAGGTGAGTGGATTGTCTGAGCCCGCGGGTTCAAGACCAGCCCGGACAACTTGACAAGACCTTGCCTCTACGATACATCAAAAATGAGCTCGGCATGGTAGTGCACACCTGTAGTTCCAGCTACTGGGAAGGCTGAGGCGGAAGGCTCGCCGGAGCCCAGCAGGTCAACACTGGGGTGGCCGTGAGCATGCCACTGCACTACAGGCTGGGCAAAAGAGCAACACTCCAACTCAAAATTAATTAATTAATTAATTAATTTTTAAAAAGCCACGCTCGGTGGTTCAGCCTGTAATCCCGCGCTTTGGGAGGCTGAGATGAGTGGATTGCCTGAGCCTGCAGTTTTGAGACCCACGTGGGCAACTTGGCGAGACCTCACCTCTACAATAAATCAAAAAATTAGCCGGGCCTGGTACCGCACGCCTGTAGTTCCAGCTGCTTGGAAGGCTGAGGCAGAAGGCTCACCGGAGCCCAGCAGGTCGAGGCTGCAGTGGCCGGGAACAGCCACTGCACTCCAGTCTGGGCGACAGAGTAAGACTCCAACTCAAAAAAAAAAAAAAATTAGCCGGGTGTGGTAGTGCACGCCTGTAGTTCCAGCTACTTGGAAGACTGAGGCGGAAGGATCCGGGAGGCCACTGCACTCCAGTCTGGGCGACAGAGTAAGACTCCAACTCTAAAAAAAGGAGGAAGAAGAAGAGGAAGAAGGGAACACAGAGGCATCAGTGTGCATCCTGGACCCCTGGACAGGCTTCTCAGATTGAGAGGTGAGGCGGGGTAAAGTGAGGATTCTAGAAAGTTCCTAAAAGGAGCAAGTCTTTCTCCAGCTTCCTGCAGCCAAGGCAGAGCAAGCTAGCCCCTGGCAGGAGCCAGGGACTTAACCCTCTGGAGATGCCCAGCCAGAGGCACCCGGCCTTTGGTCCCCAGACACCGCTGGGTGGGGTGCACCGTGCATTCCGAATGGGGAGGTGCCCCGCCTTGAAGACACTGGCAAGGGGCCTTCCATCCCCAGCTGGAAGCTCAGCCACAGCAGACACAAAGGGGGGCAGGCCAGCCCCGTCACCCCCAGGAAGCCACCAGTATGCCAGGCCCTAGTCACACACTCAGGGTCTCCAATCCACTTCCAGGGCTTCACCGCTACTTATGGACGGACGGGCAAGGACTGCCCACATTTGAGGAAAGCCGTCAGTGCAACCCACAGAGGCAAGATGAGTGAGACAAAGAAAGCTTGGAGGAAGTAAAGACGAGTTAGCAGAAGACGACCTCAGACACGCATCAGATTCTCGTAGAGACCACGCCTGTCATCCCAGCGTTCTGGGAGGCCTGAGGCAGGAGGACCCCTTGAGGCCAGGAATTCGAGTCCAACCTGGACAACACAGCGAGACTTGGTCTCTAATTAAACATGAAAAGGCAAGTTTTAAAAAAACCCTTATAAGGCTGGAGGTAGAGGCTCAAGCCTATAATCCAGCTCTTTGGGAGGCCAAGGCAAGAGGATTGCCTGAGCCCGCAGGTTCAAGACCAGCCTGGGCAACATGGTGAGACCTCGTCTCTACAATACATCAAAAAATTAGCTGGGCGTGGTAGCGCACCTGTAGTTCTGGCTTTTTGGGAGGCTGAGGCGGACAGATCCAGTCTGGGCGACAGTGAGACTCTGATTCAAGAAAAAAAAAAAACTATAAAGTAATAAGAAAAAGACAACTCAGTATAAGATTTGCCAAAAAGTGCGAACAGAAACTTTACAAAAGAGGATCTCCAAGTGGCCAGTAGCCATATGAAAACCAGCTCAACTTTATTAGTCATCAGGAACATGTAAATTAAAACTACATGAAAAGTTGATCAGTGGATGTCTGGGGTGAGGGGTGGGAAGAGGAACGACTGCCAATGGGCGTCTGGGGCCGTGGAAAGGTTCTAAAACTGGACTGTGAAGGTGGTTGCACAACTGTATAACACTTGCTAAAAATAATCAAGCTGCATGCTTACAATGGGTGATTTTTATGGTATGTGAGCTCTGCCTCAATAAAGCTGTTTATTTGTTTATTTATTTTTAAAGTCGAAGTCTCAGCTCGGGCAACTTGGCGAGACCACCTATTAAAAAAAAAAATTAGCCAGGCGTGGTAGGGCACACCTGTATTTCCGGCTACTTGGAAGGCTGAGGCAGAAGACTGATGGAAGCCATAAGGTTGACGCTGGGGTGGCTGTGAGCATGCCACTGCATTCTAGCCTGGGTGGCAGAGTGAGACACCAACTCAAAATAATGAAAATAATAAAAAGTAAAAATAAAGTTGCCTCACGCTTGTCACCCAGGCTGAAGTACAGTGGCACGATCACAGCCTCGACCTCCTGGGCTCAGCAATCCTTCTGTCTCAGCCTCCCGAGGAGCTGGGACTATAGGCGCACGCCACCATGCTTAGCTAATTAAAAAAATTTTTTTTGTAGAGACAAGGTCTTGCTATGTTGCCCAGGCTTGTCTCAAACTCCTGGGCTCAAGCAATCCTCCCACCTTGGCCTCCCAAAGGGCTACAATTATAGGCGTGAGCCACTGCACCTGGCCGCAGTAAAGCTGGTTTTTTTGTCTTGTTTGTTTTTTGAGTCAGAGTCTTACTCTGTCGCCCAGGTGCATGGTCACGGCTGCCGCAGTCTTGACCTGCTGGGCTCAGGTGATCTTCTGCCTCAGCCTTTCAAGTAGTTGGAACCATAGGTGTGCACCACCACACCCAGATAATTATTCATTTATTTATTTATTGTAGAGACATGGTCTCATCAAGTTGCCCAGGCTGATCTCAAACCCCTGAGCTCAGGCAATCCTCTTGCTTCTGCCTCCCAAAGTGCTGGGATTACAGGTGTGAGCCACCATGCCCAGCTTGAAAAATATTTTAAAAATCAGCTGGGTGTGGTGGTGCACAGCTGTAATCCTGATGCTTTGAGAGGCTGAAGCAGGAGGATCACTTGAGGCAAGGAGTTTGTGGTTACAGTGAATTACGAGCATGCCACTGCACTCTTGCCTGAGTGAGACTCTATCTCTTGAAAAAAGAAGAATTCAAGCCAGGCTCGGTGGCTCAGCCTGTAATCCCATGCCTTTGGGAGACTGAGGTGAGTGGATTGCCTGAGCCCGCGGGTTCGAGACCTGCCTGGGCAACTTGGCGAGACCTCATCTCCACAATAAATCAAAGATCAGCCGGGCATGATATCGCGTGCCTGTAATTCCAGCTACTTGGAAGGCTGAGGCGAAATGATCACCGGAGCCCAGCAGGTCGAGGCTGTGGTGGCCGGGAGCGGCCACTGCACTCCAGTCTGGGTGACAGAGTGAGACACCAACAAAAAAAAAAAAAAAAGAAAAAAGAATTCAGTAGATATTTTGGAAGATAAGTTGTGGAACTCTCCAGAAAGTAAAAAATAAAAGACAGAGAGCTGAAAAGATAAGGAAGAAAGGATAAATGTCTACTTTTTTTTTTTTTAATGTCTTGATATCTGGGTTTGTAGTTTGAGACCACTCATTATTTTTTTATTTGAAGAAGAAATTCAGGAAGTCTAATATCTACAAAGCAGAGTTCCAGAAAGTGGAGGGGAAGAAATTATTATTATTTTTTCTGAGTAGGAGTCTCCCTCTGTCACCCAGGCTGGAGTGCAGTGGCACATGCACGGGCCGCCACTGCCTTGACCTGCTGGACTCCAGTGATCCTTCCACCTCAGCCTTCCAAGGAGTCAGAACTACAGGCGCACGATACCACACACAGCTAATTTTGTTATTTATTGTAGAGACAAGGTCTCACCAAGTTACCTGGGCTGGTCTCGAACCCAAGTGCTCAGGCCATCTTCTTGCCTTGGCCTCCCAAAGTGCTGGGATTATAGATGTGAGTCACTGCGTCCGGCCAGGGAAGAAATTATTAAAGAGTGTATGTAACATTTGTTCAGATTTGTAGGAACCAGATTTCTGATTTGAAAGGCTCCAGCAAGGTCAGGCTTGGTGGCTCAGCCTGTAATCTCAGCACTTTGGAAGGCCAAGGCGAGTGGATTGCCTGAGCCCATGGGTTGAAGACCAGCCAGGGCAACTTGGTGAGACCTCATCTCTACAATAAATAAAAAATGAGCTAGGCATGGTAGTGTGCACCTGTAGTTTGGGCCATTTGAAAGGCTGAGGTGGAAGGATCACCAGAGCTCAGCAGATTGAGGCTGTGGTGGCTGGGAGTGTGCCACTGCACTCCAGTCTGGGTGACAGAGTAAGACTCCAACTCACAAAAAAAAAAAAAGAAAGGGCCAGCAAGTACACAGGACAGTGAATGGAGAAAGAGCACCAAGGGAGAAGGAAAATATTCCAAAAGCTTCTGGTACCTCCACTCCCACTCCAAGAAAAAATAAAAGGTCACATAGGAAGGATGGAAAATAAAAATGACTACAGACTTCTCAATTGCAACAATGGAAACCAGAAGACAATGGGAAGACAGCTTCAAAACGTTGCAGGGAGGCCAGACCTGGTGACTCATGTCGGTAATCCCAGCACTTTGGGAGGCCAAGTCAGGAGGATAGTTGAGCCCAGGAACTTGAGACCAGCTTGGGCAACACAGCAAGACCTCATCTCTACAAAAAATCAAAAAGCCAGCAAGGTGTGGTGGCACATGCCTGTAGTCCCAGCTACTTGGGAAGCTGATACAGGAGGGTTGCTTCAGCCCAGGAGTTTGAGGCTGTGGTATGCCATGATCCTGCCACTGCACTCTAGCCAGGGAGCCAGAGT